ATCTATCTATCTATCTATCTATCTATCTATCTATCTATCTATCTATCACACAGGAGCTCTTTCAAGCTGGGCCCCGTTTCATTCACAACACCTGTCCCACCAACCAGGAACCAGAACCAGACGTTTACAGTAAAAACAGGAATAAATCAACCTGTGTATTATCTGAGGATCTTACTACTGAATGCCCAATAACGAGGTACATTTACAGGTATAAAGTTACACGAGAGGGCCGATGACATGAGGACACCTACTGGAGCCTTTTTGTCGATGGGCTTGATGACGAACTTCTTGTCGTTGAAGGAAATGTTTCTGATCTCGCTCCAGGGGAAGCCGATCTTTGGTGACAACCTGAGGCGACAGGGATAAAGCTTTTCACTTTTCAGACTTATTTGAACAACATGAGGAACGTTTCCACATTTTGGTTTCCATTTAAAAAGGCATTTTTGTGCTTTGAATCCTCTGTTTTGCTCTTTCAGACCAAAAGAGGGCGCTGCTCTCAAATAAGCTGCTCTGGACCAACCAGGACGGTTTAAAATGTGCTGGTTGTGACTGTATTATGATAAATATACCTGATAAATACCATCTATTGGCGTCCACGGGCAGCTCGTATCATTTAATTTAAAGTCTTAACAGTAGATCAGATTAATAAATACGTTAGTTCTTCTTCTGTGGTATTTTCAAAGGGGAATCTACCCCAAAATCTACTCAAAAATCTTCCCAAAATCGCTCCTCTTGTCAGCTTTTAGCCTCATTTATCAGCTTCTGGGGTTGGAGACCCTTTTTTCTCATGATCCCCAAAACAAATAAACATCTTTCTGTACCTCCTGAATAGTAAATGACACTTATAGGAGGCTCGTTGACATCTGAGTGTGACTGTGTGTGTGTGTGTGTGTGTGTGTGTGTGTGTGTGTGTGTGAGCTGCTCACTTGTCTTCGTGTTCGTAAATGTTGAGCCCTAAGGCGTCCACCCCCAGCCACAGCTCCGTGCCCTTCTTGTTCTTGATTTCAAAGTAGTTGACGCCGTACATCTCCAGGTCCTGAGCGATCTTCAGGTACTCCATCATGGCGTCCTCCCTGATAACAAACACATACACAAACACACACACACACAGAGACACACACACACACACAGACAAACAACTGTAAGCAGCGTTTGGAAGTTTCAAACAAACATGAAGCAAACCTCTGAGTGGGTTTGAGGCTAGTAAACCAAACTGGGTTGTACACATGGCTGTAATGAACATTTCAGGAGCTGAGAGATGAAAGCAGCCAGCTGCTTTGGTAACACAAACCAGACAAATAGTCACTTTTATTCAAAGCAGAAAGAGCTGATCGCTCCTGAAAACGGACGGTTAAAAGCTGACGCTGAGCTTAAAACAGCTTCTCGTGGAGCTCAGGCTCAAACTGTTTCCCCCTTCACATCCACAGCTACATCCTCATTTTCCCCCTTTTTTACCTACCTTACTAACCCAAACTCTTACATTCCCCTCATTCTGCACAGTTTTATTCATTCCATTTTTATTTAACTAATTTCTGATGTTTTTATTTATGATGCATTTATGACTATGTATGTTTATCATGTTTCAATGTTTTTAAAAAAAAAATGTAACATCATTTTTAATAGTTTTTCTTTTGTAATGGATAAAGAACAGAAAATTACAGCACATAACAAACAGTCAGAGCATCTAGTATAAACAAAGGACACTACCTCAAAACGAAAACTACAAAAATTACAGACTAGTACAGAACAACCGAGTAAATGAGAGCGACAAACATAATGTTTCAATGTTGTTTAATGATGATTGTCTTTGTAAAGTGTCCTTGAGTGGCATGAAAGGCGCTTTTTAAAAATAAAATGTATTATTTTTATTATTATTATCAAACCTACATGCTCACCTGAGCATGCTTCTGTGCTCCTCGTGCCAGGTTTGTATTCTGTCCTCCCACTGCTCCTTCGTTAGCTTGTGCTGCTCCAGAACTCTGCAGAGTGCACAGAAAGACAAAAAATGTAAATGTACATGTACTTATATACCGCTTTTCTAGTCAAGCTGACTACTCAAAGTTCTTTACACTACACTGTCATTCACCATTCAGACACACATTCACACACTGGTTGCACCAGTGTGTAGGGTTGTCATAATACTAACATTTTCAACTGGATACCAATACTCAGGAAAATATTCGATACTACAAGGATGAAAACAAAGACCCCAAATTTTTACTGAGTTTTGACAGGTTAGTGTCTTTGGTTTCAAACTGACCTGTTACTGATGTTATGGTGGCCCACATTAATGACCCTAACCCTAACCCTCCACCCTTCATAGTTGTGAAAAATAAATATCTTTTTGGTTAAACTTGTTTGGGCTTATTGTACAAACCTATTTAACATACACTATTTTAACATAATATTATGTATAGAGTTTAATTCAATGTTTTCAAGATTAATTTCACCATTTTTAAATTAATGTTTATATTGCCATGAAGCAATTAGGATTTTCTTGCCTGGGATCTTCCTATTGGTGACCTAATCAAAATGGCCGACTTGGATGTGGGGCAGTTGGATATCCATCCTTGGCTTCCTGCAGTCTGCAGCCAGACGGACTTGATTAATGTTGGCGTGTTATTGTTAGCCATTAGCCGCAGCTAGCAATTCAAGGCTAACTTCATGCTAACAATTCAAGGCTAACTTCATGCTAGCGATTCAAGGCTAACGTCATGTTAATTATCATAAACAACGTAAATAAATAAATGAATCAGAGAGGGGGGTTATCTATTCTTTTGAAAATGAGTATCAGATCCGGATAAGTTTTAGTATCAATACTCTTTTGAGTGTCGATACTTTTGACAACCCTACCAGTGGGCAACTTGGGGTTCAGAGCCTTGCCCAAGCACCCATGGAGGAACATGGAGTTGTACTTTTTATTTATTTATTAATTTATTTAATCAGGACAGTGCACATTAATGAACAATCTCATACAGATTGTAAATGAGCCAGATTATAGCATAGTTGCTAGTTTACATCTGTCGTCCTAAGGCAGGAAGATCAAACAACACAAAATCACAAAATACAAAATCAGTCCAAACACACGTTCAGACAATGACATTACAAAATTAAAATTAATTCAATTCAATTCAATTTCATTTATAAAGCGCCACATCACAACAACAGTTGTCTCACAGCGCTTTCCAAACAGAGCAGGTCAGACCCTACTCTGAAGTTAACTACAGAAACCCAACAATTCCCACCATGAGCAAGCACTAGGCGACACAGGCAAGGAAAAACTTCCTTTTAACAGGCAGAAACCTCGAGCAGAATCATGGCTCAGGGTACCACCGACCCTCTGGGCGCTCACCTCTGTGGGAGCAGCCGGTCGGATGCCAGGTATCCCGGCTTGTGGACGTCTTTGTTGTGGTCGCCGTACTTGGCCTGGACGGCGTAGGACGCCAGCAGCACGGCCGTCTCCGGGGGACAGTAGTTCTCGTCGTTCAGAATGGCCTCTTTCACCTGCAAACAAAAAACAACTTTGAAGTTAATTTAACATAACATCAAACAGGATAAGAGTACAGACATAAAAATAAAAAAAAACATTAAGGTTTTTCTTGGCTTCAAGACTTAACCCTTTAAAGCCTGATCCAAGAATAAAACAAAACAGAAAATTACATTTTTTTGGTTTTAAGTCTTTATTTAGCCTTTTAACAAAATATGTAAAAACAAAAAAACTAAAATACATTTTTGATATTAATAATTTATTACTATGCGATAAGTCAAGATTATTTTTGTGTAGTCCTCTGCCCCCTGTTATCAGGTGTATTTAAATGTGTACAATAGGACTTTGAGCAAAGTTTTTACCATTAAATTATGCAAAAGGTGTCAGACGCAAAACATTTTAGAAACCGTACGAATCAAATATGATACATTTGGCATTACAGGGTTAAGGGTGTATTGTATGTGTGCTAGCTTAATGTTAGCATTAGCCCTGTGATTGGCAGGCTGTTATCTATTCAACAGCTTGGTTTAATGTAGTTTTTTCCCATGATAGTCTTCAAATAAGGATGATTTTATCACTAATTAATGTGGTATGCTTTCTCTTTAAGACTTCCTGCCCAAAAAAAAAAATCATGCAAGCATAACGCTAGCATAAGTTTAAATTGCTTTAATGTAGGTTTCCCATCATAGTCTTAAAATGAGTTTATGAAAAAAAAAAGAAAAGCATTAGCTCGGTGCTTTACAGGCTGTCATCTATTCAACATATTGGTTTAATGTAATTTTTTTTCCCACGATAGTCTTCAAATAAGGATTATTTTATCACAAATTAATCTGGTATGCTTTCTCTTTAAGACGTCCTGTCAAAAAAAAAAATCATGCAAGCACAACGTTTGCATTCAATTGCTTTAATGTAGTTTTTTTCATCATAGTCTTAAAATAAGGATGAGTTTATGACAAAAAAAAAAGAAAAAGCATTAGCTCGGTGCTTTACAGGCTGTCGTCTATTCAACAGCTTGGTTTAATGTTGTTTTGCTAGTCACACGACCTAATCAAAATGGCCGACGTGGATGTGGGAGGAGTTAGATATCCAACCGAGGCTCCTACAGACTGCAGACAGAGACCTCCCGTCCTACCCTGTTTTTTCGACCTAATGAGGAGGTTGTAAAGCCGAGAAACCTGAATTAGAAAAAAAACCCAGTACCTGCAGGAAGAAGAGCTTCTGTGTGATCTCCTGGATGAGCTCTTCAGAAACGTCCTCGGGGAAGAACTTGGCTCTGAACTTGAACTGCAGAGGATTTTCCTTCTTCACGTCCTGCTGGGTCACCTGGAGCCAAGAGCCCAGCGTCACACCCCGAACACCTTCTCCAAATAAACCCAAACAACTCCAAACAGAAGTAGTAAAAACACTTTTACACACTCAAAAACTCAAAGCCGCTTTCTAAATTCTATTTTTTTGTTTTAATCTACATCAGAATCAGAAATACTTTAATAATCCCAGAGGAAAACTCCAGATATACAACAGCATATCCCTGTAATGCCAAATGTATCATATTTGAATCATACTGTTTCTGAAATGTTTTCGTCTGACACTTTCTGCATAATTTAATGGTAAAAACTTTGCTCAAAATCCTATTTTACACAATCAGATACACCTGATAACAGGGGGATGAAGACTTCACAAAAAATAATCTTGACTTATCGCATAGTAATAAATTATTAATATCAAAAATGTATTTCTGTTTTTTCTTTTTACAAATTTTGTTAAAAGGCCAAAGAAGGAATTCAAACAAAAAAAAAGTAATTTTCTGTCTGGTTTTATTCTTGGATCAGGCTTTAAAGGCATATAGATATAAAAATGTCTATACATGAATATTTTAGGCCTCGTTGACTTGAGCTTGACAGGAGCATCGTGGGGACTTCCTCACCTTCTTGTTGAGCTTGAGCCAGGTGACGTATCCTTTGCTGTCTGTGTACTGGAGGCCGAAGAACCAGACCTCCCTCAGCCCCACCGTCTTCACCACCTAAACACACACACAGGTCCTCAATGAACAGCCCCCTTTCTAATTTAGATCCTTACTCACAGCTCAGATTAAGCTTTTTCCTGAGGACATCTTTATGAAATGGCAAGGCAAGGGCTAGCTAGCTAGCTAGCAGGCTAGCTAGATAGATAGATAATCATTTAATTTTTTTTTCTTTTTTGGTTATTTTCTCTTTTTCTGGTCTTTTGCTCAACGTTTTCTTTCAATTTCTGGTCATTTATTGGAGTTTTGTGTCCATTTCTGATCTTTCTCTGGTCTTCAGCAGGACCTTTTTGCAGTTTTGTGTCTTCTTTTGTGTTTTTGTGACCATTTTGTCCCCATTTCCCATCATAAACAGACATTTTAAATCTAAAGATAAACCCACTGAGCCTCTATGAAGAAAAACTACCTGAACCAGGACAAAGTCTAGTTCTTAAACTGATCATAGATAGATAGATAGATAGATAGATAGATAGATAGATAGATAGATA